AATAATAATAATAATATTAACAGATCCACGAGGTGGCTCTTCTCTGTTAAATTACATTATTTACAATTGAAACAAATTGTTAATTTCAGTTAAAATAACAAGACTGATGTGTGAAAATATGGGGTATTCCTAGAAAAAAATATTAACAGATTTGAAATTACAGTAAAATTAACTAATCACTCTGTACTCTATTACATAAAAATTTCCTTGAAAGTCTTAAAAAGGTTCTGTTATTTTTATTCAATTTTTTTTTAGCAGTTGCATTATCAAGAAGTCCTGCTGGAGCCGCTATAAAGATCGGAACTTGTTCCCTTGGAACTTTCATATATGGAGGACAAAGCTGCCAGCGGACAATGATGATGAACTTGAAAAACAATCCTCAATTATCGTGCAGGTATAGTTACTATATTTAACGATTAGGCTTTTCGCACTCGATTTCTATCGCGCGACAGTCAGTGACGAGGGCGCAGCCCGAATCATCTATCAGGCGGTAGAAATCGAAGACGAAAAATCTAGTTGATTTAGTATAAATCTACTAGTCGTTCAAAATTTTATCTAAATCCTCTTCACAGACACTTCAAAAACGCAAAGAAGTGGCCGTTATTTTGTTAAGAACAACACAAACCATTTAAAACAGAAGACTTTATAGTGAGTAGCTTAGCCAATCAGAGAACGGCATTTGTGATAAAACGCTCGTAGATTTATATTACTGTGTTGTGTTGTTGGGCGCGACATTTCACTATTATCGCTGTATGTCCAGGTTTATAAATACGTGCCAGTGAGAGAATGTAAAGTCACGCTGAGAAAGACTGGGGCCCTGCAACCTGCGAGATGTTGTAATGCTATCGCCTGTTGCTTCGTCCGCTAGAAGCATTGATCTTTGGAACCACTGGGTTCTGAAAAGTTATGTTAAACAATTAAGTTAAAAAGGATTTTTTTATGAAGGTTATTGGAGAGTGCCATCTAGTTAGTTATCAAATTCACAACCTTCAAAAGCTAGAATCCCCATCTTGTTAATTTGATCATTGTGAAAAAGGACCCGTTTTACTTACAGTGCCTTGAATGAAACTCGGCTTGCATAAAGGATCTGGAACGAGCAGGGAATCGTGGAGAACCAACCACTGAAATTAATTTTCCTCATTCTCCGATCCCGTTGGTCGACTGCATGAGACCAACTGGTCCCACATTTTAGTGTTTCGCTTTGTTTCTGGGTTCTGCCCGAAATGTCAACAAGAATGTTTGTTTAAAAAGTCTTATTTCATAACACGTTTCGACACCATCAATATAACCAAGCTAGCTGTAATACAAATCAAGACTACAAAAGGAGCCCGGAGGACC